AATTCTGAAAATGAAGTAACGTGCTGTAGGTGTACGTGTGTGACCTGTCCGGCATTTGTGCCCGAGGCTAGGCAAGAAATCCTTGCGAACTTCTAAGTAACAGAGAATCCGACCTAAAAGTCTGCAATAACCTGCAATCGAACGACATAATATTGAGGAATTCGCTATTTCAAAATCTTGTTTGGGAGATGTATGGAGCGGATGAAATTATTGTTTTAGTACAGAACCGGTATTTGCTAAAACTGGCCGGGTTTCCAGCATTTTTGTCCGAGGCTAGCGTAGGCAAGAAATCCTTGCGAACTTCTAAGTAACAGAGAATCCGCCCTAAAAGTCTGCAATAACCTGCAGTAGAACGATATAATACTGAGGAATTCGCTATTTCAAAATCTTGTTTGGGAGATGTATGGAGCGGATGAGATTATTGTTTTAGTACAGTACAGGTCAGGTATTTGTTAAAACTGGCCGGGTTTCCAGCATTTGTGTCCGAGGCTAGGCTGGGCTAGAAATCCTTGCGAACTTCTAAGTAACAGAGAATTCGGCCTAAAAGTCTGCAATAAACTGCAATAGAATGACATAATACTGAGGAATTTGCTATTTTAAAATCTTGTTTGGGAGATGTATGGAACGGATAAGATTATTGTTTTAGTACAGAACCGGTATTTGCTAAAACTGGCCGAGGCTAGGCTGGGCAAGAAATCCTTGCGAACTTCTTAGTAACAGAGAATTCAGCCTAAAAGTCTGCAATAAACTGCAATAGAATGACATAATATTAAGGAATTTGCTATTTTAAAATCTTGTTTGGGAGATGTATGGAACGGATGAGATTATTGTTTTAATATAGTACCGGTCGGGTATTTGCTAAAACTGGCCGGGTTTCCAGCATTTGTGTCCGAGGCTAGGCTAGGCAAGAAATCCTTGCGAACTTCTAAGTAACAGAGAATTCGGCCTAAAAGTCTGCAATAACCTTCAATAGAATGACATAATATTGAGGAATTTGCTATTTTAAAATCTTGTTTGGGAGATGTACATGTATGGAGCGGATGAAATTATTGTTTTAGTACAGGACCGGTATTTGCTAAAACTGGCCGTTTTTTTTAACCGGGCAGTAGCGCATTGCTTGACAGAAACATTTTACTACATTTTTGTGATTTTTTTAAAACACACGAAAAAGGACACCCAGAAGGAATTGTCTAGCATACTTAGGTTCGTAAATGTGTGATGTCCACGGCTAATAAAATGTAGCCAAGCTTACTGTACATACAGTGCGAGAAAAAAGGGACAAATTCTGAAAATGAAGTAACGTGCTGTAGGTGTACGTGTGTGACCTGTCCGGCATTTGTGCCCGAGGCTAGGCAAGAAATCCTTGCGAACTTCTAAGTAACAGAGAATTCGCCCTAAAAGTCTGCAATAACCTGCAATCGAACGATATAATACTGAGGAATTCGCTATTTCAAAATCTTGTTTGGGAGATGTATGGAGCGGATGAGATTATTGTTTTAGTACAGTACAGGTCAGGTATTTGCAGACGGCACCTGGGCAAGCGCGCAGGGCCGTCTAGATCCATTTACCGTGTCGTCACGGGAGGTCATACCGTCGGCACGCCCAAGCAGGCGCGTGGGGCTTTGTCGATACCTTTCCCGCGGTACAGTTACAAGAGGTGTCGCCGTAGCCACGCCCAGGCTGGCCCGTGCACGTTGGGCCGTCTAAATCCATTTACCGTGCAGTCACGGGAGGTCATGCCGTCGGCACGTCGGCCATTTACGTAGCTTAATATAAGCTTAAATATTCATTTTTAAGCTAACGTTACGCACACTTAAATGCATCTTATTTAAAACAATTTAAAGTAACTGCCAAAGTCATACTTATCTAAGTCTTTATGTTTTAAACGTAGTCAAGAACACATGTGGAGTACACTGCTGCAAATCAGTGCTTTATCTTTACTGCAACATTAAGCGACCTTAAAGATCAAGTAAGGATACGTTTATGTTTAAGTAGACTTTAAGTTGTTCTTTAAGAGAGTGTAAAGATTGCCTGCCGATTGTAGCATTTACGATGGCTTAAGTGTGACTTAAATAATGCTTAATTATTTTGAAATATTTAAGCATTATTTACGAACACCATTAAGGATGCTTAAATATCGTTTTTCGTGCAGTGATATCAGGTCTTCAGGATTTACATCCCGTAAGTATTGCCCTGTAAGGTTAGCAGGTCCGGCACATCTGATCTGGTCTTCAAATGGGTAAGACCCGTTCATCCTCTGCTTAAAGGGGGCCATCCTACAGTCACACTGCCAGGGGTTGTTGTCAATGTTGACTGTTGAAATGGAAGCCAGTATGTCATATGCCATGACTGGTAGGGTCTCTAATTGGTTAGAATATAATCTAAGCTCTGACAGTGCTGAAATATTCAAGTTTGATAAGGCCTCTACAGGGAAAGTGTTGATGTTATTATGAGAAAGTTTCAGTGTTTGAAGCTGAAGTAGATTCCCTAATATGTCAGCTGTGATGGTGCTGATGTTGTTGTTCTGAAGGTCTAGAGTACGTAGCTTTGTTGTGTCATTGAAGGTGCCTGCCTCAATACTGTGGATGTCATTTCTGTAAAGTCGAAGCTCTTCTAAGTTACCAAGCCCCACAAATATGCCAGCTGGCAGACTAGTTAACTGGTTAAAGTGAAGATACAATTCCTGCAGATTACCAAGTCCCTCAAATATGCCAGCTGACAGACTTGTTAACTGGTTAGAGTAAAGATACAAGAGTTGCAGATTACCAAGTCCCACAAATATGCCAGCTGGCAGAGTGGTTAACTGGTTAAAGTAAAGATACAAGACCCACAGATTACCAAGTCCCTCAAATATGTCAGCTGGCAGACTAGTTAACTGGTTATATTGAAGAAACAACCACTGCAGATTACCAAGTCCCTCAAATATGCCAGCTGGCAGAGTGGTGAACTGGTTATTGTCAAGATACAAGCGATACAGATTACCAAGTCCCTCAAATATGTCAGCTGCCAGACTTGTTAACTGGTTAGAGTAAAGATACAAGTACTGCAGATTACCAAGTCCCACAAATATGTCAGCTGCCAGACTTGTTAACTGGTTAGAGGAAAGACGCAAGTCCCACAGATTACCAAGTCCCTCAAATATGTCAGTTGGCAGAGTGGTCAGATGATTGTCAGAAAGGTGCAGTCCACCCAGGCTGGTTAAGCCGTGGAATGTTTTGTTATGGATTATGGAGATCTGATTGGACCTAAGATCTAACCATGTCAAGCTCCTATACCTTGAGAAGTCAGACTGACTTAAGATTGTGATGGTGTTGTTGTACAATAAAAGCGTAGTGATGTCTGTAGGCAGGTCCTGAGGAACACTGGTGAGGCCTCTGCTGCTGCAGTCACAGTCTGATGAACAGCTGCTGCTGCAGGCTGCGGTCGGGCCAGTGTGTTTTGTGCTGGGAGTGGAGTAGACTGGTGTTGTCTTTTCACAGATCAGGTCTTCAGGATTTACATTCCGTAAGTATTGCCATCTAACATTGGCAGGTCCGTCACATCTGATCTGGTCTTCAAATTCATAGGATCCGTTCATCTTCTGCTTAAAGGGAGCCATCCTACAGTCACACTGCCAGGGGTTGTTGTCAATGTTTACAGTTGAGATCGAAGCCAGTATGTCATATGCCATGAGTGGTAGTGTCTCTAATTGGTTATTATCTAATGTAAGCTCTGACAGTGATGAAATATTCAAGTTTGATAAGGCCTCTAGAGGAAAAGTGTTGATGTTATTATGAGAAAGTTTCAGCATTTGAAGCTGAAGTAGGTTCCCAAATGTGTCGGCTGTGATGGTGCTGATGTTGTTGTTCTGAAGCTCTAGACGACGTAGCTTTGTTGTGTGAATGAAGGTGCCTGCCTCAATACTGTGGATGTTATTACTGGCAAGGTCAAGGTCCTCTAAGTTACCAAGTCCCACAAATATGTCAGCTGGCAGACTAGTTAACTGGTTATTGTTAAGCCACAAGGTCTGCAGATTACCAAGTCCCCCAAATATGTCAGCTGGCAGACTATAGCTAGTTAACTGGTTAGAGTAAAGAGACAAGAACTGCAGATTACCGTGTCCCTCAAATATGTCAGCTGGCAGACTAGTTAGCTGGTTATTGTTAAGCCACAAGGTCTGCAGATTACCAAGTCCCCCAAATATGTCAGCTGGCAGACTATAGCTAGTTAACTGGTTAGAGTAAAGAGACAAGAACTGCAGATTACCGTGTCCCTCAAATATGTCAGCTGGCAGACTAGTTAGCTGGTTAGTGTCAAGAGTCAAGCGCACCAGATAACCAAGTCCCTCAAATATGTCAGCTGACAGAGTTGTTAAATGATTGTCATAAAGGTGCAGGACGATTAGGCTGGTTAAGTTGCGGAAAGTTTTGTTATGGATCATGGAGATCCGATTGGTATGAATATCTAATCTTGTCAAGCTCCTGTACCTTAAGAAATCAGACTGATTTAAGGTTGTGATGGAATTCCCTCTCAAGTTAAGATAAGTGATGTTTGTAGGCAGGTCCTGAGGAACACTGGTGAGGCCCCTGCTGCTGCAGTCACACCATGTACAACTGTCGATTCTGGAACAGTGCGGTGACCATGAACAGCTGCTGCTGCAGGCTGCGGTCGGGCCAGCTTCCTTCAGGATGATCAGCAGCAGAACCAGCATCCTCCTCGCTTTGTTGGACATACTGAACAGAGAGGAGAATATGTATAGAATGACAGTTCAGCTGTGTTAGCAGCTTTAGAAAAAGTCAACATCCCAATACATGTAGTATCAGTACATTTATTTTTAATACTGGTCAGAACCAACATGGCCCAAAAATTCAAAACACTCGATTGATTTTCAGATGTACACTGCTGCACGCACATAAGAATAATTCTTTTTAACCCCTTAGGCCACAGCAAGTAATTATTTTTTTATTCTGTGGGGTTGTGTGGGGCAGCGGCAGCGTGCGTGACTCGGAATCAAGAGGTCCCGGGTTCGAGTCCTGACATGCCACCGATCTTGTGCCCTTGGGAAAGGCACTTTACACGACTTTCCCCACTAGACTCAAGTGAAAATAAGTATTGTCTGTCCAGTATTTGTTTCTATGTGCGAGACACAGCACCAGCAACAGCTGCCTCTGTTCCACATGTATTGTACTGTTGCAATTTCAATAAATAAAAAATGAATAAATAAATAACTGAAAAATAAAAATATTCTGTTTTCCTAATTATTATGGATGACATCAGCGGGCGCATTGATTTTTGCTTGATTTTGGAGAAAAAACAATAAATCTTGTTGCCCTTTGACAGAGGTCAACATGCCGCATCAAGGTCAAAATGGGAAAATGCCATGCCTTGCCATGCTGGAAGGTGTATGGCAGATAAACATGAAGAGAGGAGACAAGACAAGGCTCTGATTTAATGTTTCGACTTTTACTTTGATGCAGTGATGTATTTCATTCCTTTTATATGTTCCCACTGAATCAAATCCATTTGTACAATCAGGGCTCAAATCAGTGTCCTGATGGCACTGACTACTAAAATATAGGCAGGGACAACTAAAAAGATACTTAACACTTAATACGCATTCCCCCTCAGTTAGAGGGTTCCTGGGCCCTACTAGGGTTTGGGTTGGCGTTAGAGGAAGAGCATCCAGCCGTAAAAAAATCTTGCTTCAAAAAAAGACTTGCACTTGGTACAAGCACGTCTAACGCTTGGTTCAGGGGAAAATGACGTTAAAATTGATTTTAAAAAAACAAAAAGTGCTGGGACAACCATAAGGAATAAAAAGTTAATTTCGAGGCCTGACAATGATTGAAAACATTCCTTTTTCAAAGTTGTTTCAGTGACAAATGGATGTTGTGATAGTTGGCAGTAAAGTTAGCACATATGTAGGTATCATTTCTTGTTTAACAGTGTTTATGATGTAAAAATTTCAAAATATAGGAATCTTGTTTTTCGGCCTGCCTTTTTTTTGCCCTCTCGCATTAGGTTTGGAGTCTGCGGAGGATGTCATCCATAAGATTTACTTACTGTGGTCTAAATTGGTGAAATGAACAAAATTCGACCAAACTAGACAAGTGCAGACACTATCTAGTCCCAAATATGTCTAAATTGGATCACAATTCTTCAAGAGAAAAGTGATTTTTAAACTTGATAAGGCGTTACAAAGAGAAGGAGGTCCATAGAATATGCCAAAATTGTGCCAAAAATAAGACAAAGCTCATTCCTCTTCTTGGAAAATAATTCAGTGAAAGATTACCAGTGTTAGGCCAGTGTTCGTATAGAAAAACTGATAAAGTAGTAAGGGTGGCATAATTTTATAAATTGTGGCGTCTGTGTGGTGTAGTGGATAGAGCATCCGACTGTCAAGCAAGGAGACCCAGGTTCAATCCCCAGGGTTGGACCCAGACATGTCCGGACATGCACCCAGATGTTGTGCCCTTGGGAAAGGCATTTTACACATATTTCCCCCCTCAGTTAGAGGGATCCTGGGCCCTACTAGACGGTTTGAGTTGGCGTTAGGAGGAGCATCCAGCCGTAAAAATGTTTGCTTCAAAAAAGACTTGTACTTGGTGCAAGCACCTAACCCCCGGCTGGAGAAAAATGACGTTAAAGTCGGTGTAAAAAAAAAACGTCCAAAACAGGTTAACCGATGACAGCGTTAATACCCTGGGCGTTAGGCTAGTTACCTTATACCAAAAGAAAAGCCGACAAGATAGAATGCCTGGCAACAACCACCCTAAACAATCCTACATTTGTTGGTTGAGTGAGTTTATCTCTTGTGGGGCATTCACGTCACACTCTTTGCCCGCCTTCATGGTTGGCGACCAGAGACACGCAGTCTGCCAGGTCGCAAGCTAGACTGGCCCGTATTTACTTATAGCCCGTGTTTACATTGTTAATGGCATGTGGATCCTCTCATGCAAAAGTTGGCTTGCTTTTAGTGGCGTCAGGCCAGGTCGCAAGCCAAACGAGCCCGTATTTAAGCCTGTGTTAACCTTACGCCAAAAAGCAGTAATACTCAAGCAACTGGATATGATTTTGGAAACGGTCAGACGTTTCAGTTAGTATCCACTAGCTTTCCTTAGTGACTGAGAGACCAGAGGAGAAATGCAGGTTTATAAGCACAACCTATTGATTGATATGCAAATAAAGTGAAGACAATTTTTTGGAAGTCGAAAAGGGAACAAAAGTCAGACAAGTCAAGACAAGATGATGCAAATAAGTCTGAAAGCTCCTGTCAAACAGAACAGGAGTGTGTTTACATTGTATGACATGTCCTCATGCAAAAGTGGTCTGGTTCTTAAGTGACGTCATTGCCTGTCTTCTCAAAATAGCCTGGGCGTCATCTGTAACTTGTAACGGCAGTCCCAAAAAAAATCACAAAACACTAGGGCCTTGTTCAAAATAAAATTACTGGCCACAGAACATGTGCCAAAATTAATATCCAACAACTAACTCAAAATAGCCTGGGCGTCACCCGATTTTAACGGCAGCCCCCCCCCCAAAAAAAAAACACAAAACACTAGGGCCTTGTTCAAAATGAAATTACTGGACACAGAACATGTGCCAAAATTAATGTCCAACAACTAACACAACCTGGAACACTAAATCTAACGCATCAAATTCAACATCATAACAAACAACATAGAAAATACAATAAACAACCTGGAGGTATAAAATCTCAGATTTTCCTTGTTTCCTGTTAATGTTGACACAAGTTAACGTTTAAGACAACGAAATCGCCTTCCTGTCATCCTTGTATATTTAAGTGTCTTAAGAAGTGGAAATTCTAGAGTTTATTTCAATTAATGAATCTTTAACCTGACGAAAAATCCAGGGTAATATTAAAAACTTAAACAGTTGACTTTGTGTCTGAGCTTACATGGTGCCTTCTGACATTTTTCCTGTTCAACATTTCCTCATCGCCATTTTGTTCTGACATTTGAGCAATTGTTCCAACAAATTTAGCTCTCATCATCCGGACAAAAAATACATGAGGTTCCATGTTGTTCAAGGGTAACACAGAAGTTGATTGACTCACCTCAGTATGGAAGGAAGATACCTTCAGATTTTCCAATGGTACAAGACAAGGAAATGGTGTCTGTAAAAATAAAACAAAGGCGTGTAAGGCCGTCAGTAGTTCCCCAAATCATAAAGTACACAATTGGTGGTTTAAAGAAGATAACGTTGAACACCTCAGTAAGCAGGCAAAGTTTGGAGAAAATTCAGAAACATTTCTCAGTATTTTCTAGACTGAGTACTTAACTGATGATCACTTGTAATCGTTAACTCTTAATGTTGACACATGTTCATGATAATGTCTTAAAGACCATGAAATCTCCTTCCTATCATCCTTGAATTAGGGTCTTAAGAAGAAGTTGAAATTCTAGAGAGTAAGTTCTTAAAGTTTATAATTCTTTAACCAGCCAAAAAAATCAGGGTTACACCTAAAGGCAGGAGCCAACTGTGTGTCAACTACTTGCCTTCTGACATTTTTCCTGTTTAACATTTCCTTGTCGCCATTTTGAGCAATTGTTCCAACAAATTTAGCTCCCATGGACAAAAAATGCATCAGGTTCCATGTTGTTAAGGGTAACAGAGAAGTTGATTGACTCACCTCAGTATGGAAGGAAGATACCTTCAGATTTTCCAATGGTACAAGACAAGGAAATGGTGTCTGTAAAAATAAAACAAAGGCGTGTAAGGCCGTCAGTAGTTCCCCAAATCATGAAATCTCCTTCCAATCATCATTGAATAAGGGTCTTAAGAATAAGTGGAAATTCTAGAGAGTTTCTTTAACTTATAAGTAATTTATCTTTATCCTGCCAAAAAATACAGGGTTACACAGGTGGTCAACTGTGTGTCAACTACCTGCCTTCTGACATTTTTCCTGTTCAACATTTCCTCGTCGCCATTTTTTTCTAACACTTGAGCAATCCTTCCAACAAATTTAGCTCTCATGGACAAAAAATGCATCAGGTACTATGTTGTAGGGTAACAGAGAAGGTGATTGACTCACCTCAGTATGGAAGGAAGATACCTTCAGATTTTCCAATGGTACAAGACAAGGAAATGGCGTTTGTAAAAATAAAACAAAGGCGTGTAAGGCCATCAGTAGTTCACAAAATCATAAAGTACAGCATTGGTGGGTTATATAAGATATCTTTGAAAATGTCGTTAAGCAGGCAAAGTTTGGAGAAAATTCAGAAACATTTTTCAGTATCTAGTAGTACTGTAACCGATGATCACGTAATCATTAAGTCCTCTTAATGTTGACACATGCTCATGTCTTAGACCATAAAATCTCCTTCCTATCATCCTTGAATATTAGGGTCTTAAGAAGAAGTGGAAATTCTAGCGAGCAAGTTCTTTAAGTTTCAGCTAATAAATCCTTAACCAGCCAAAGAAATCCAGGGTTACACTTACAGGCAGCCGACTGTGTGTCAACTATTTTCCTGTTCAACATTTCCTCATCGCCATTTTGTTCTGACATTTGAGCAATTGTTCCAACAAATTTAACTCTCATGGACAGAAAATACATCAGGTTCCATGTTGTAGGGTAACAGAGAAGTTGATTGACTCACCTCAGTATGGAAGGTAGATACCTTCAGATTTTCCAATGGTACAAGACAAGGAAATGGTGTCTGTAAAAATAAAACAAAGGCGTGTAAGGCCGTCAATGGTTCCCCAAATCATAAAGTACAGCATTGGTGGGTTACATAAGATATCTGAGAAAACCTCGGTAAGCACGCAAAGTTTGGGGAAAATTCAGAAACATTTCTCAGTATTTATTAGTACTTTCACTCATGATGATCACTGGTGTTAAGTCCTCTTAATGTTGACACATGCTCATGTCTTAGACCATGAAATCTCCTTCCTATCACCCTTGAATAAGGGTCTTAAGAAGAAGTGGAAATTCTAGAGAGTAAGTTCTTTAAGTTTCAGCTACTAAATCTTTAACCAGCCAAAAAAATCCAGGGTTACACTTACAGGCAGCCGACTGTGTGTCAACTATGTGCCTTCTGACATTTTTCCTGTTTGACATTTCCTCATCGCCATATTTTTGAGCAATTATTCCAACGAATTTTAGCTCTCATGGGCAGAAAATACATCAGGTTCCATGTTGTAGGGTAACAGAGAAGTTGATTGACTCACCTCAGTATGGAAGGAAGATATCTTCAGATTTTCCAATGGTACAAGACAAGGAAATGGTGTCTGTAAAAATAAAATAAAGGCGTGTTTTTAAGGCCGTCAGTGGTTCCCCAAGTCATAAAGTACTCAATTGGTGGGTTACATAAGATATCTGAGAACACCGGTAAGCACGCAAAGACTAAGTTTGGGGAAAATTCAGAAACATTTCTCAGTATCTGTTGTAACTGATGCCGTGTATGATCAATGGTAATTGTTTCCTGTTAAAGTTGACATAAGTTAATGTCTAATAAACTATGAAAGCTCCTTCCTATCATCCTTGTATAAGTGTCTTAAGAAGAAGTGGAAATTCTAGAGAGTAAGTTCTTTAAGTTTCAGCTAATAAATCTTTAACCTGAGCCAAAAAAATCCAGGGTTACACCTAAAGACAGCCGACTGTGTGTCAACTACGTGTACGTTCCTTTCTGACATTTTTCCTGTTTAGCATTTCCTCATCGCCATTTAGAGCAATTGTTCCAACAAATTTAGCTCTCAAAAAATTGAACAGAAAATGCATCAGGTTCCATGTTGTAGGGTAACAGAGAAGTTGATTGACTCACCTCAGTATGGAAGGAAGATACCTTCAGATTTTCCAATTGTACAAGACAAGGAAATGGTGTCTGTAAAAATAAAACATTTTTCCTGTTCAACATTTCCTTGTCACCATTTTGATCAATCCTTCCAACAAATTTAGCTCTCATGGACAGAAAATACATCAGGTACCTGTAATTATATTGTAGGGTAACAGAGAAGTTGACTGACTCACCTCAGTACGGAAGTTAGATATCCTCAGTCTCCAAACTCCTTGAAGTGAGGGAGTCAGTCTTAACTGCGTCTTTCAGCCAAGCTTTCAGCAAAGTGTATCTGCACTCGTCTGCTATTCAGCCAAGATCAGGTGTGATGCGTGGGCGAATGGGGAAACTTGGCTGACGCTCAGGGTTTGTAGGTAACGCATGACTGTGCAAAAGTTGTGGGGATTATCATGATCAGTTCCTCCAGACACCACACAGGGAGGAAAAACAATCCAAGATCAGTGCACTTAAAGGCATCCAATGCGATTTCAGGGCAGCAAAACTGGAAATATTTTGAATAAGACAATCTTTGTGATATTGACAAATTAGCGAGATCAGGAATATGATAAATATGTGACTTTAGTACCTTTGCCCGTCACCAGGTGGCGCAGGTGCAGCACGATTGTGACAGTGGGCGGCAGGCCAGTGACTGCAGTACCTTACCCTGTCACTGGGCGGCGCTGTATGAACACTTCAATCCTTGTTTAATAACCAAGCATATTTGCAGGCATGGACACCACAGACAAAGACTGGAGTTGAACCATTTTATTCCCTTCCTTTTCATATATTATAAGCTGCGGATCAGCTGCAGCATCTTTAGCAGCTGCTGTCACCTCACATATTTGTGGGACTGTGGACCTTCTCCAGGGTACAGGGAGGGAGATGGAACCTCATGACCATTGTTAAAGCTGCCGAGATGCTGCATTTGGCCTGAGCCTGACTGTGATGTTTTTTTTTGTCTTCACTTTATTTGCATATCAATCAACGGGTTGTGTATATAAGCCTGCTTTCCCCTCTGGTCTCTCAGTCACTGACGAAAGCTAGTGGATACTAGCTGAAACGTCTGACGTTTTCAAAATCATATCCAGTTGCTTGAGTAACTGTTTTTTTGGCAGTGCATAATGAACCTGATCTTAACATCGTATAACGATGATCTTCGGTTCAATATGTCACATCGATTCCCCTCGCTTAAGTACACATACATACCCTTATCAAATACATTATACACAATGGCATGGTACATAATTGTCGAAAAGTCGAACATCTCTAAGAGGAATTCAACAAGAATCTGTTTACTGCAGTCTTGAATTTACTCATATTAGGACTGTCAGGGAAGACCGAGGCTGGTAAGGAGTTCCACAGCCTGCTAGTCCTTGGTACACATTTCAAGACATGTGAAGCTGAGTGTTTGATCTTGGCACTTTAACAAAGTAAGGGTGCCCACTTGTAGTCGAGCGAGTTACTCGCGTTCTAAATACTTTGGTCGGCAGAATTCCAGTGAGTTCCTCTGAGGGTTGCAGGAAGACGTGCCGGTAAAAGGTACTCAGACTGGCTACTTTTCTCCTGTGTTCTAAGGGATATATTCCTACCATTTGCGGATCCCTAATTTGGAGCTGACGTAAAGCTTTCTTCTGAAAGCTGTCAAGAAGTTTAAGTACAGTTGCACCAGCTCCGCTCCATATTGGGGAAGCATATTCCATGAGGGGACGCTTATGTTTGTGACTGACTAAGGACGTCATCATACCTTACTTCATCTGTCCGTGTGTCACAACCAACGATTGTACGTGCAGCTTCATCTGCTGATTCAATCTGAGAGGCAGCCTGGGGGCCAGTTTGATTTTCAGGGGGAAAGGAAGGGGGCAAAACCAAATAACCAAAGCTGTCAAGACTCTGCCTGTTGCCTGCACCTCTGTGTGGACTTTCTAACTGATTGACTTCATCTATGGTGTCATCTATGGTGTCTATGTATGGTCCTGTAACAATTACTTGTCGACAGACCCGTTACATACATGTAGTTTCCTTTGCAGGTTCTACCTCATCATCATTCTCATAAACCATAAGGTGCGAACCAGCTGCAGCATCTTTAGCAGCTGCTGCCACCTGCCTGTTCTCATATTTGTGGGACTGTGGATCTTTCGCTACAGATTCTATCTCGTCATCATTCTCATAAACCATAAGCTGTGGACCAGCTGCAGCATCTTTAGCAGCTGCTGCCACCTGGCTGTTCACATATTTGTGGGACTGTGGACCTTCTCCAGAAGACAGGTAGGGAAACGGAACCTCATAACCATCGTTAAAGCTGCCGAGGTGCTGAATTTGCCCTAAGTCAGATCTTTGTGATGGGCCAGCAACACTGGTTGTACAAGCAGCTGCATCTGCTGATTCAACCTGGGCAGCAGCCTGGGCCTGGGGGCCAGTCTGATTTTCTGGCCTAGGGGGAAGGGAAGGGGGCAAGACCAAATAACCAAAGCTGTCAAGACTCAGCCAGTTACCTGCATCTTGGTGTGGACTTTCTGACTGATCGATATCGTCTATGGTGTTGTACTCGGCTGTGTCAGGGTCCTCATCTGTTGGGAGGTTATAGATATGCTGGCTGTCTTCTGTATCAGAATGGGATGTTTCAGATTGACTGTTCATTCCTGCACTTGTGCCAACTGCCGGTAGCTCCATCTGCTCATTTAGACCACTAGCACTGGCTGTGCCTGTGGGGTTTGTGTTGCTAAAGCCTTGCTGAGAAGGATCCCTTTGCCTCCTCTTATACATGCACCCTACTGCAAAGGCAATAGTGCAGATAAGGAGGAGTCCAAGAATAGCTCCCATAGTAGCAAGAATGGGCACAGACAGGACAATGCCACCATCAGCAGGGCCAGTATTGCTTTCAGTCATTGTCGACTGAAAACCAAAAGGAGAATCAGAACTGACTGTAGACCAGCCTGGGTTAGAGTCAGCAGTGGGAGTGTTGCTCTGTGTTGGTGCATTTGATGTTGACAGATGAAAAGGAGAAGAACTGCTGACTGGAGACAAGCTAAGAGTAGAGTCAACAATGTGTTTAGTGCTAGAAGTGGAGTAGACTGGTGTTGTCTCTTCACAGATAGGGGGGTCTTCAGGATTTAACGTTACATCCCGTAAGTCTGCAGGATTTACATCCCGTAAGAGTTGCCTTTGAAGGTTAGCAGGACCGGCACATCTGATCTGGTCTTCAAATGAGTAAGACCCGTTCATCCTCTGCTTAAAGGGAACCATCCTACAGTCACACTGCCAGGGGTTGTTGTCAATGTTAACAGTTGAGATGGAAGCCAGTATGTCATATGCCATGACTGGTAGTGTCTCTAATTGGTTATTACCTAATGTAAGCTCTGACAGCACTGAAGAATTCAAGTTTGATAAGGCCTCTACAGGGAAAGTGTTGATGTTATTATGATAAAGTCTCAGTGTTCGAAGCTGAAGTAGGTTCCCAAATGTGTCAGCTGTGATGGTCCTGATGTTGTTGTACCGAAGATCTAGATCACGTAGCTGTGTTGTGTCATTGAATGTGCCTGCCTCAATACTGTGGATGTTATTACTCTCAAGTTCAAGTCTCTCTAAGTTACCAAGTCCCACAAATATGTCAGCTGGCAGACTAGTTAACTGGTTAGCGTGAAGAGCCAAGTCCTGCAGATTTCCAAGTCCCTCAAATATGCCAGCTGGCAGGCTAGTTAACCGGTTAGAGAAAAGATACAAGGTCTGCAGATTTCCAAGTCCCACAAACATATCAGTTGACAGACTATTTAACCGGTTAGATTGAAGATACAAGGTCTGCAGATTTCCAAGTCCCACAAACATATCAGCTGACAGACTATTTAACCGGTTAGATTGAAGATGCAAGGTCTCCAGATTACCAAGTCCCTCAAATATGCCAGCTGGCAGACTAGTTAACCAGTTATTGGAAAGATGCAAGGTCTGCAGAATTTTACCAAGTCCCTCAAATATGTCAGCTGGCAGACTAGTTAACTGGTTATCGTCAAGAACCAAGTCCTGCAGATTTCCAAGTCCCTCAAATATGCCAGCTGGCATGCTAGTTAACTGGTTAGTGTAAAGCCACAATAACTGCAGATTTCCAAGTCCCACAAATATGCCAGCTGACAGACTGGTTAACTGGTTATGGTGAAGCCTCAAGTCCTGCAGATTTCCAAGTCCCTCAAATGTGCCAGCTGGCAGACTAGTTAACTGGTTAGTGTGAAGCCACAAGGTCTGCAGATTACCAAGTCCTACAAATATGTCAGCTGGCAGGCTAGTTAACGGGTTATTGTTTAAAAACAAGGCCTGCAGATTACCGAGTACATCAAATATGCCAGCTGGCAGAGTGGTTAACTGGTTATTGTTAAAATACAAGGACTGCAAATTACCAAGTCCCTCAAATATTCCAGCTGGCAGAGTGGTTAAATGGTTGTCAAAAAGGTACAGTAGAGTTAGGCTGGTTAAGCCGTGGAATGTTTTGTTATGGATCATGGAGATCATATTTGTTTGAAGGTGTATTCTTGTCAAGCTCCTGTACCTTGAGAAATCAGACTGATTTAAGGTTGTGATGGCATTTGCTTCCAAGTCAAGCCTAGTGATGTCTGTAGGCAGGTCCTGAGGAACACTGGTGAGGCCTCTGCTGCTGCAGTCACACTGTGTACAACTGTCGATTCGGTAACAGTGCGGTGACCATGAACAGCTGCTGCTGCAGGCTGCGGTTGGGCCAGCTTCCTTCAGGATGATCAGCAGCAGAACCAGCATCCTCCTCGCTTTGTTGGACATACTGAACAGAGAAGAGATAGAATGCAGTTCAGCTTTGTTAGCAGATTTAGAAAAGGTCAACATCCCAATAGTATCAATAGACCAGTAAGTATAATACTGGTCAGAACCAACCAGGCCCAAAAATTCAAAACACTCCACTGATTTTCAGATGTACACTGCTGCACGCACATAAGACCCCCCACACACACACACACACATAAGAATAATTCTTAACCCCTTAGGCCAAAGTAATTATTCTTTTATTCTGTTTTCCTCAGAAATTATTATGGATGGCATCAGCGCGCGCATTGATTTTTCCTTGATTTTGGAAAAAAAACAAAAAATCTTGTTGCCCTTTGACAGAGGTCAACATGCCACATCAAGGTCAAAATGGGCAAAATGCCATGCCTTGCCATGCTAGAAGGTGTATGGCAGATAAACATGAAGAGAGGAGACAAGACAAGGCTCTGATTTAATGTTTTGACTTTTACTTATTTCATTCCCACTGAATCAAAACCATTTGTACAATCAGGGCTTAAAACTAATGGTGTCCCGATGGCCACTGACAACTAAAAGATACTTTGGGACATTTTTGGGGCAATAAAAAAATAACATCACAATGCCAGCCCTTCTATTGTTCATCCATAGGATGTCATCCATAAGATTTACTTACTGTGGCCTAAACTGGTGAAATGAACAAAATTCGACCAAACTAGGCAAGCGTAGACTCTACCTGTTCATTTCCCAAATTTGTCTAAACTGGATCACAATTTAGAAAAGTGATTTTTTTTTTGTAAACTAGATAACTTAAGGCATTACAAAGAGAATGTCCATAGAATATGCCTAAATCATGCCAAAAATAAGACAAAGCTCATTCCTCATCTTGGAAAATAATTCAGTGAAAGATTACCAGTGTTAGGCCAGTGTTCGTATAGAAAAACTGATTAAGTAGTAAGGGTGGCATAATTAAAAAAAAAAGCATTTACAAACGTCCAAAACAGGTTAACCGTTTGTTTTTTAATCCAACATGTAATCACAAGACGTGGTGATGGCACACTCAAGTTTTTTCAACTTATATTAATGTCCCACCAACACGGGACAATACAATTCTCATTTTCACCTGAGTGAACTGAGGAAAGTTGTGTTAAGTGCCTTTCCCAAGGGCACAAGATCGGTGACATGGGCAGGATTCAAACCCGCAACCTCTTGGGTGTGAGCCAAATGCGCTACCGACTGCGCCACACGACCCCACATTGACAGTGTTTACCCTGGGCGTTAGGCTAGTAAACTTATACCAAAAGAAAAGCTGACAATATACAATGTCTGAACAGGGTTGGACAAGTTTTCAGAAATCCACAAGCACATGATCATTTCTACTTGCCCAAACCAACTTTTCACTTGCCCAATGCGAAGTGTAAATGACATATTTCCAAATTGCTTTTTTACCACATGGAAATTTTTCAGTGAAAAAAAGCACTTTGTATTGTTGTATGCTTGACCAGTACCTGTATTTCCCAAAGTAATCTAAGGATAGTACGACAAAAAGTCATACTTTTGACTGACAAGTACAGGGGAAAATGCACTTGTCCAAACAGTGCTTTTACTTGCCCTGGGCAAGTGGGCAATAGGACTTGACCAACCATGACTGTTTAGCAACCGCCCTAAACAATCCTACATTTGTTGGTTGAGTGAGTTTATCTCTTGTGGGGCATTCACGTCACACTCTTTGCCCAACGTCATGGTTGGCGACCAGAGACACGCAGTCGGCCAGGTCGCGAGCCAGATGGGCCCGTATTTACTTATAGCCCGTGTTTACATTGTTAATGGCATGTGGATCCTCTCATGCAAAAGTTGGCTTGCTTTTAGTGGCGTCAGAGACATGCAGTCGGCCAGGTCGCAAGCCAAACGAGCCCGTATTTAAGCCTGTGTTAACCTTACGCCAAAAAGCAGTAATACTCAAGCAACTGGATATGATTTTGGAAACGGTCAGACGTTTCAGTTAGTATCCACTAGCTTTCCTTAGTGACTGAGAGACCAGAGGAGAAATGCAGGTTTATAAGCACAACCTATTGATTGATATGCAAATAAAGTGAAGACAATTTTTTGGAAGTCGAAAAGGGAACAAAAGTCAGACAAGTCAAGACAAGATGATGCAAATAAGTCTGAAAGCTCCTGTCAAACAGAACAGGAGTGTGTTTACATTGTATGACATGTCCTCATGCAAAAGTGGTCTGGTTCTTAAGTGACGTCATTGCCTGTCTTCTCAAAATAGCCTGGGCGTCATCTGTAACTTGTAACGGCAGTCCCAAAAAAAATACACAAAACACTAGGGCCTTGTTCAAAATAAAATTACTGGCCACAGAACATGTGCCAAAATTAATATCCAACAACTAACTCAAAATAGCCTGGGCGTCACCCGATTTTAACGGCACGACCCCCCCCCAAAAAAAAACACAAAACACTAGGGCCTTGTTCAAAATGAAATTACTGGACACAGAACATGTGCCAAAATTAATGTCCAACAACTAACACAACCTGGAACACTAAATCTAACCCATCAAATTCAACACCATAACAAACAACATATAGAAAATACAATAAACAACCCGGAGGTATAAAATCTCAGATTTTCCTTGTTTCCTGTTAATGTTGACACAAGTTAACGTTTAAGACAACGAAATCGCCTTCCTGTCATCCTTGTATATTTAAGTGTCTTAAGAAGTGGAAATTCTAGAGTTTATTTCAATTAATGAATCTTTAACCTGACGAAAAATCCAGGGTAATATTAAAAACTTAAACAGTTGACTTTGTGTCTGAGCTACATGGTGCCTTCTGACATTTTTCCTGTTCAACATTTCCTCATCGCCATTTTGTTCTGACATTTGAGCAATTGTTCCAACAAATTTAGCTCTCATGGGCAGAAAATACATGAGGTTCCATGTTGTAGGGTAACAGAGAAGTTGATTGACTCACCTCAGTATGGAAGGAAGATACCTTCAGATTTTCCAATGGTACAAGACAAGGAAATGGTGCGTGTAAAAATAGAACATTTTTTCCTGTTTGATATTTCCTCATTGCCATTTTTTTCTGACACGAGCAATTGTTCCAACAAATTTAGCTCTCATGGGCAGAAAATGTATCAGGTTCCATGTTGTAGGGTAACACATAAGTTGATTGACTCACCTCAGTATGGAAGGAAGATATCTTCAGATTTTCCAATGGTACAAGACAAGGAAATGGCGTCTGTAAAAATAAAACAAAGGCGTGTAAGGCCGTCAGTAGTTCACAAAATCATAAAGTACACAATTGGTGGGTTATATAAGATATCTTTGAAAACATTGTTAAGCAGGCAAAGTTTGGAGAAAATTCAGAAACATTTCTCAGTGTCTAGTACTGTAAATGATGATCACTTGTAATCGTTAACTCTTAATGTTGACACATGTTCATGTCTTATACCATGAAATCTCCTTCCTATCTTAGGGTCTTAAGAAGAAAGTGAAATTCTAGAGAGTAACTTCTTTAAGTTTCAGCTCATAAATCTTTATCCTGCCAAAAAAAATCCAGGGTTACCAACTGTGTGTCAACCACGTTCCTTCTGACATTTTTCCTGTTCAACATTTCCTCATCGCCATTTTGTTCTGACATTTGAGCAATTGTTCCAACAAATTTAACTCTCATGGGCAGAAAATACGTCAGGTGTCATGTTGTAGGGTAACAGAGAAGTTGATTGACTCACCTCAGTATGGAAGGAAGATACCTTCAGATTTTCCAATGGTACAAGAGAAGGAAATGGTGTCTGTAAAAATAAAACAAAGGCGTGTAAGGCCGTCAGTAGTTCACAGAATCATAAAGTACGCAAATGGTGGGTTATATAAGATATCTTTGAAAACCTCGGTAAGCAGGCAAAGTTTGGGGAAAATTCAGAAACATTTCTCAGTATTTACTAGTACTTTAACTGATGATCGCTTGTAAGCTTTAAGTCCTCTTAATGTTGACACATGTCCATGTCTTAGAACATGAAATCTCCTTTCTATTATCCTTGAATAAGGATCTTAAGAAGAAGTGGAAATTTTAGAGAGTAAGTTCTTTCTTTAAGTTTCAGGTCATAAATCTTTAACCGGCCAAAAAAAACAGGGTTACACTTAAAGACAGCCAACTGTGTGTCAACCATGTTCCTTCTGACATTTTTCCTATTCAACATTTCCTTGTCGCCATTTTGAGCAATCCTTCCAACAAATTTAGCTCAAAGGGGAAATTCTAGAGAGTTTCTATAAGTTAATAATTTATCTTTATCCTGCCAAAAAATACAGGGTTACACCTAGAGGCAGCCGATTGTGTGTCAACTATTTTTCCTGTTCGAAATTTCCTCATCACCATTTTGTTCTGACACTTGAGCAATCCTAAGCAAATTTAGCTCCCATGGATGAACAATACATCAGGTACCATGTTGTAGGGTAACAGAGAAGTTGATTGACTCACCTCAGTATGGAAGTTAGTTCAATCTTCAGTCTCCAAACTTCTTAAAGTCTCAGGGAGTCCGTCTTAACTGTGTGCGTCTTTCAGCCAGGCTTTAAGCAAAGTGTATCTGCACTGCTATTCAGCCAAGATCAGGTGTGATGTGTGGGCGAATGGGGGAACTTGGCTGTCGCTCAGGGTTTGTAGGTAACGCATGACTCACTGTGCAAAACTTGTGGGGATTATCGGCCCCTCCAGAGTAACAGGAGGAGGAAAAAAATGCAAGATCTGTGCACTTAAGCTGCCAACAGACCTTCTTTGTGAGCTGTACTGTCTGTGAACGATAAGGCCACAACGCCTTAATTCTATGGATGACATTGATTTTCGCCTGTTAAAAAAAAATCACGTCCTCCGAGGCTCTGGCCTGGCTCTAGGCCTGGGTAGTCCATGGTAGTTGGCGACAATAAGGAGGTGTTGAACTCTGGAGGATGGACCCAGGCTGCTGAAGCTCCACGACTCATTAGAACTCAGTACATACGTACAGTACCGTTTCATAAATTCCGCAAAAAAAAAACAAAATACGTCGCTATGTGCTGCCGCAAATTCACAATACCAGCTTTGTATTCCTGTGGTTTAGTAGCATTTTTAAATATTTTTGGCCAGAATTTTTTTTTATTCGCCCGCACGCACTAGTTTGCGTGTCTTCAGAGAATGTCATCCATAAAATTAAGGCGGTGTGGCCTAAGAAGCAGAAACAGGATTGTATAATAATTAGACGAGGCTGAGACCCAAGTAGCAGTGACCAGGGGACGTAACGTGGATTCTTCAGCATTATCATAGGGGTCTGCCTAAACACCACAACCCACCATGGTTGCAGTTGGTGAATACATTTTATTAAGTGACTTCAGTACCTTTGCCCGTCACCAGGTGGCGCTTGTCAGGTGCAGCACAATTGTGACAGTGGGAGGCAGGCCAGTGGCTGCAGTACCTTACCCTGTCACTGGGCGGCGCTGTATGAACAGTTCAATCCTTGTTTAATAACCAAGCATATTTGCAGGCATGAACACCACAGACAAAAACTGGAGTTGAACCATTTTATTCCCTTCCTAATCTAAGTTACATTTTGAAGTCCTTGCCTTAGTAACTGTCAGTTCTACCCTCTTCCAGTGTCTTCATTCTCTCTAGTCATCTCTTCAACTTACCTACTTCCAGTAAGTAGTTTTCACACAACTATATGTAACTTATGTTGTATTGTATGTTCTACATGTATTATGTATTACTAAGTATTATATGGCATTAGAATGTAATTTAACTCACTAATTCAAAATTGTGAGTTAAATTACATATTACATAATTTAAAAAAATTACAATATTGAAGTTATCAATTTCATGCTAAACTATTCTTACTCTATTTCACACTGTAACTAGATTTAATTTTCAGCACAATATATCCTTTAACAGTGAATTCTAATACATACATTGCATTAAACAGTATACACAGTAAGTAATTAAACTAGCGCTGTAACCCTAACATATGGTGTTAAAGCTTTAAAAATCACAGAATCACAGAATATTTCTGATTATTTCCACAGTCACCACAGTTTTTAACATTTTTGCTTTTGTTTATATACATATAAGAGATATATTTGATTCACAACAAAAAGATCCATTTTATAATAAAATGTTCAGTTTTATAGAGTAGACAAAAACCTTCCTCCATGTTTCCTAGTCCTAGTGTCAGTGCTTTTGCTGCAATGATGTTGTTTCTATCATATTAATGATTATAATATTTAACATAGAATAGAATATTGATAATAATAGATTATGGTATTAGAATATATCATATTTACTAGGCCTTCACACAATCCTAACCTCATCACAATATACTACTGGTGTGTATACTACGTGTGGGTCCTAATTATATGTCTGCCCTTAACAATTAAGTAACACATTTCCTTGACCCGGCATGTCATCTTTTTGTGGCCCTTTTAAAAACTTTTTCTGTCTCTACTATCAATGTCTATATGTCGTGTGGCAATTGTATTCAATTTGAGCATATTACATTTGTTGTATATCTTTGCACACAAGCACTTAAACCTACTCATCCACAATTTGTCCACAATTCATCCACTCAGAAGTCTTCCTCATCAAACCTGCGAGCTGGTTTGCTTTTCTTGCCTGAACTTGGTTTTTAAACTTAAACTAAAAAGTGTTAAAAAAGTTAAAACTTAATATTTTTAGGGAGAGCCCCGGTATACAAATAGAATGGCACCCAGGCCACAGGACTCCTACTCAAGGCCAACCATTATAATGATTGTTTTTAAAGAGTGATTCCTCAAAGCAACTGCTGTTTGTTTTGTACATTGATTGTTCGAATCAATCAGTCATCGATTAATCATCTAATTGTGTTGTGAACCATGGGTCAGCAGGGATGTGTATGTGTGCTGCTGCTGACTGCTGGGGTTCTTCAGGGGTTCATAGTGGTGAGGGCTGTCAGCACCAGGGGCAGCTGCTGTCTGTGATTGATTATCAACTAACTCATCATTATTCTCATACACAATAACCTGTGGACCAGCTGCAGCATCTTTAGCAGCTGCTGTCACCTGGCTGTTCATATATTTGTGGGACTGTGGACCTTCTCCAGGGTACAGGGAGGGAGAGGGAACCTTGTAACCATCGTTAAAGCTGCCGAGATGCTGAATTTGCCCTGAGCCTGGCTGTGAACTTAGGGACAGACTATCACTGTGAGTTTCTGACTGATTGACATCATCTATGGTGTTGTACTCTGCTGTGTCAGGGTCCTCATCTGTTGGGAGGTTATAGATATGCTGGCTGTCTTCTGTATCAGGATGTAGCATGTGTACATCTATGTCTGCATCTTTCCCAGCTGCATTTGTTGTAATTGCCTGTAGCCCTATCTGGTCATGACCACTGGATGTGCCTGTGGGGTTTGTGTTGCTAAAGCCTTGCAGAGGGTTAGGATCCCTTTGCCTCCTCTTATACATGTACATGCACCCTACTGCAAAGCCGATAATGCAAATAATGGATACTCCAAGAATAACTCCCAAAGTAGCAAGCAAGGGCACAGATAGGACAATGCCACCATCAGAAGGGCCAATTTTGTTCTCTGTCATTGTTGGCATGAGGGTGTTGCTCTGTGTTGGGGACAATGTTGGTGCCTTTGATGTTGACTTGGCTGACTGATGGAAAGGAAAAGAATTGCTGACTGGAGACAAGCTAAGAGTAATGTGTTTTGTGCTGGAAGTGGTGTAGACTGGTGTTGTCTTTTCACAGATTGAGTCTTCAGGATTTAACGTAACATCCCGTAAGAGTTGCCCTGCAAGGTTAGCAGGTCCGGCACATCTGATCTGGTCTTCAAATGGGTAAGACCCGCTCATTCTCTGCTTAAAGGGAGCCATCCTACAGTCACACTGCCAGGGGTTGTTGCCAATGTTGACTGTTGAAATGGAAGCCAGTATGTCATATGCCATGAGTGGTAGGGTCTCTAATTCGTTAGAATCTAATGTAAGCTCTGACAGCGCTGAAATATTCAAGTTTGATAAGGCCTCTACAGGGAAAGTGCTGATGTCATTATCAGAAAGGTACAGTGTTTGAAGCTGAAGTAGGTTCCCAAATGTGTCAGCTGTGATGGTGCTGATGCTGTTGTGCTTAAGTCCTAGATCACGTAGCTTTGGTGTGTCATTGAATGTGCCTGCCTCAATACTGTGGATGTTATTACTGTATAGGTAAAGCCTCTCTAAGTTACCGAGTCCATCAAATATGCCAGCTGGCAGGCTTGTTAACTTGTTATAGTCAAGATACAAGAGCTGCAGATTACCAAGTCCCTCAAATATGTCAGCTGGCAGGCTAGTTAACTGGTTAGAGTAAAGATACAAGTTCTGCAGATTACCAAGTCCCGCAAATATGCCAGCTGGCAGACTTGTTAACTGGTTATTGTGAAGATACAAGGTCCGCAGATTACCAAGTCCCACAAATATGCCAGCTGACAGACTTGTTAACTGGTTATTGTAAATATACAAGGACTGCAGGTTACCAAGTCCCTCAAATATGCCAGCTGGCAGACTTGTTAACTGGTTATTGTAAAGGTCCAGTCCAATCAGTCTGGTTAAGCCGTGGAATGTGTTATTATGGATCGTGGAGATCTGATTGTCAGAAAGTTGTAATAATGCCAAGCTCCTATACCTTGAGAAATCAGACTGATTTAAGGTTGTGATGGTGTTGTTGTACAAGAAAAGCACAGTGATGTCTGTAGGCAGGTCCTGAGGAACACTGGTGAGGCCTCTGTTGCTGCAGTCACAGTCTGATGAACAGCTGCTGCTGCAGGCTGCGGTCATCCCAGCTTCCTTCAGGATGATCAGCAGAAGAACCAGCATCCTCCTCGCTTTGTTGGACATACTGAAGAACAGAGAGGAGAATATATATAGATTATGATAGTTCAGATGTGTTAGCAGCTTAAGAAAAAGTCAACATCCCAATAGGATCAGTACATTTCTGGTCAGAACCAACTTCTCACTGGCCCAAAAATTCAAAACACTCTGATTTTCACGCACATAAGCCACCCCCCCCCCGCACCCACCCCTGCACATAAGAATCATTCTTTTTAACCCCTTAGGCCACAGCAAGTAATTATTTTTTTTATTCTGTTTTCTTAATTATTATGTATGACATCAGCACGTGCATTGATTTTCGCTTGATTTTGGAAAAAAAAACAAATTTTGTTGCCCTTTGACAGTGGTCAACATGGTCAAAATGCCATGCCTTGCCATGCTGGAAGGTGTATGGCAGATAAACATGAAGAGAGGAGACAAGAAAAGGCTCTGATTTAATGTTTTGACTTTTACTTATTTCATTCCCCTGAATCAAAACCATTTGTTCATTGTATCAGGGCTCAAAACTGATGGCCACTGACCACTAAAATATAGGCCGGGACAACTAAAAAGACACTTTGGGACAATATAAAAATAATTAACATCAGAATGTCAGCCCTTCTATTGTTCATGAGGCATACTTCCTGGCTTTTTGCTCTGGAAAATCCTTCCCCCCCCCAAAAAAAAATGAAAAAAAAAAAAATCCTGTCTACTCTGCAATTATAGTGCACCTGGGAGTCAGAACGTAAACAAAATAAAGTTGACTCCAAGTCATACAGTACTTCTCAAAAAACAAGCTTGGACAGCTCTTCCTCATTTCAGGACAATTCAAATTTATTTTTGGGACAGTGCTGGGACAATCATAAGGAATAAAAGTTAATTTCGAGGCCTGACAATGATTGAAAACTTTTTTTTTTCAAAGTTGTTTCAGTGACAAATGGATGTTGACTGTGATAGTTGACAGTAAAGTTAGCACACATTATATATAGGTATCATTTCTTGTTTAACAGGGTTTATGATGTAAAAATTTCAAAATATAGGAATCTTGTTTTTTGGGGGGCCTGCCTTGTTTTTTTTTGCCCTCTCGCATTAGTTTTGGAGTCTGCGGAGGATGTCATCCATAAGATTTACTTACTGTGGCCTAAATTGGTGAAATGAACAAAATTCGACCAAACTAGGCAAGTGTAGACACTACCTAGTCCCAAATATGTCTAATTTGGAGAAAAGTGATTTTAAAAGATATTAGGCCACACCAATTTAATTTGTTGCTTCTCGGATTTGCCCTGTCCATTTTTTTGTGATTTGAAAATTCTTTTTTTTTTTGTTCAAAGCATGCAAAATTCTCAATGAAAGACATTTTGGCCCCAATGGTTGAAGAAAGTCCTTTTCTTCCTGGTTCTTAAAGTTGTTTAATGTAACAACGCAATCATGTTTCATTAAAAGTTCAAAATCTATTGTTTTAATTTATAAACCAGCCTGGTATGTTCACTTCATAGCTCATATTGTAACATTTCCAGCTATCATGGGGTGCATTGGCCTGTTTTTTTTTTTTTTGCCCTGTCGCTTCATATTTTTTCTGAAGAAATACGAGAAACAACAAATTAAATTGGTTTGGCCTTACTTAGTCATTACAAAGAGATAGGTCCATAGAATATGCCTAAATCATGCCAAAAATAAGACGAAGCTCATTCCTCATCTTGGAAAAATAATTCAGTGAAAGATTACCAGTTAGGCCAGTGTTCGTATAGAAAAACTGATGATTTAAAAGTATAGTAAGGGTGGCATAATGCAAAAAAAAAAATCATTTACAAAGATTGGCGTCTGTGTGGTGTAGTGGATAGAGCGTCCGACTGTCAAGCAAGGAAACCCAGCTTCAATCCCCAGGGTTGGACCCAGACATGTTCGGACTTGCACCCAGACGTTGTGCCCTTGGGAAAGGCACTTAACACGTATTTCCCCCCCTCAGTTAGAGGGATCCTGGGCCCTACTAGGGTTTGGGTTGGCGTTAGGAAGGGCATCCAGCCATAAAAATGTTTGCTTCAAAAAAGGTGCAAGCACGTCTAACCCCCGGTTGGGGAAAATGACAAAGTCGGTTTAAAAAAAAAACAACGTCCAAAACAGGTTAACTGTTGACAGTGTTAATACCCTGGGCGTTAGGCTAGTTACCTTATACCAAAAGAAAAGCCGACAATATAGAATGTCTAGCAACAACTGCCAGAAACGATCCTACGTTTGTTGGTTGAGCGAGTTTATCCCTCGCGGGGCATTCACATCACACTCTTTGCCCAACGTCATGGTTGGCGGCCAGAGACATGCCGTTGGCCAGGTCGCAAGCCAGACAGGCCCGTATTTACTTTAGCCTGTGTTTACATTGTTAATGGCATGTGGATCCTCTCGTGCAAAAGTGGTCTGGTCCCTAAGTGGCGTCATTGCCTGTTTTCTCAAAATAGCCTGGGTGTCATCCGTAACTTGTAACGGCAGTCCCCAAAAAAATCACAAAACACTAGGGCCTTGTTCAAAATAAAATTACTGGACACAGAACATGTGCCAAAATTAATAACCAACAACTAATACGACCTGTAACACTAAATCTAACCCATCAAATTCAACACCATAACAAACAACATATAGAAAATACAATAAACAACCCGGAGGTGTAAAATCTCAGACTTTCCTTGTTTCCTGTTAATGTTGACACAAGTTAATGTTTAAGACAATGAAATCACCTTCCTATCATCCTTGTATAAGTGTCTTAAGCAGTGAAAATTCTACAGAGTTTATTTCAATTAATGAATCTTTACCTTGACAAAAAATCCAGGGTAATATTAAAAACTTAACATAGTTGACTGTGTGTCAACTACATGATGCCTTCTGACATTTTTCCTGTTCAACATTTCCTCATCGCCATTTTGTTCTGACACTTGAGCAATTGTTCCAACAAATTTAGCTCTCATGGACAGAAAATACATCTGAGGTAGGGTAGGGTAACATTGTAGGGTAACAGAAGTTGATTGACTCACCTCAGTATGGAAGGAAGATACCTTCAGATTTTCCAATGGTACAAGACAAGGAAATGGTGTCTGTAAAAATAATTAAAAACATTTTTCCTGTTTGATATTTCCTCATTGCCATTTGACACTTGAGCAATCCTTCCAACAAATTTAGCTCTCATGGACAAAAAATATGGTAGGTACCATTTGATTGACTCACCTCAGTATGGAAGGAAGATATCTACAGATTCTGCTATGGTACAAGACAAGGAAATGGTGTCTGTAAAAATAAAACAAAGGCGTGTATGATCACTGGTAATTGTTTCCTGTTAATGTTGACATAAGTTAATGTCTAATAAACTATGAAATCTCCTTCCTTTCATCCTTGAATAAGGGTCTTAAGAAGAAGTGGAAATTATAGAGAGTAAGTTCTTTAAGTTTCAGCTAATAAATCTTTGACCAGCCAAAAAATACAGGGCTACACCTACAGGCAGCCGACTGTGTGTCAACTACATGATGCCTTCTGACATTTTTCCTGTGTGATATTTCCTCATCGCCATTTTGTTCTGACACTTTTATCTCTCATGGGCAGAACATACATGAGATACCATGTTGTAGGGTAACACAGAAGTTGATTGACTTACCTCAGTATAAAAGTTAGTTATCTTCAGTCTCCAAACTCCTTAAATTGAGGGAGTCCGTCTTAACTCACAGGTGTCTTTCACCCATGCAGGCCTAAGAAAGTGTATCTGCACTGCTGTTCAGCCAAGATCAGGTGTGATGTGTGGGCGAATGGGGAAACTTGGCTGACGCTCAGGGTTTGTAGAAAGTGCATGACTGTGGAAAACTTGTGGGGATTACCGGCCCCTCCAGAGTAACAGGAGAAGGAAAAACAGTCCAAGATCTGTGCACTTAAGCTGCCAACAGACTTCCTTTGTGAGCTGTACTGTCTGTGAACAATAAGGCCACAACGCTTTAATTTTATGGATGACATCCGCGCGCACATTGATTTTCACCTGTTCTCAAAAAAAAAAGATCACGTCCTTCGAGGCTCTGGCCTGGCTCTAGGCCTGGGTAGTCCATGGTAGTTGGCAACAATACGGAGCCAGTGGTGACTCTGGAGGATGGACCCAGGCTGCTGAAGCTCTACGACTCATTAGAACTCAGTACATACGTACAGTGTAGATTCGTAAATTCCGCAACAAAAAAACCAAAGATGTGACTTCAGTACCGTTGCCCATCACCACGTGGCGCTAAATTGAGACCATGTCAGGTGCAGAACGATTGTGACAGTGGGAGGCAGGCCAGTGGCTGCAGTACCTTATCCTGTCACTGGGCGGCGCTTTATGAGCACTTCAATTCTTGGTTGATAACTCTGCATATTTGCAGGCATGAACACCACGGACAAAGACTGGAGTTGAACCATTTTATTCCCTTCCTTTTCATATATCATAAGCTGCGGATCAGCTGCAGCATCTTTAGCAGCTGCTGTCACCTCACATATTTGTGGGACTGTGGCCTTCTCCAGGGTACAGGGAGGGAGATGGAACCTCATAACCATCGTTAAAGCTGCCGAGATGCTGAATTTGCCCTGAGCCTGGCTGTGATGTTTGTGACGGACTAAGGACATCAACATACCCTACTTCATCTGTCCGTGTGTCACGACCAACGATTGTACGAGCAGCTGCATCTGCTGATTCAATCTGAGAGGCAGCCTGGGGGCCAGTTTGATTTTCAGGGGGAAAGAAAGGGGGCAAAACCAAATAACCAAAGCTGTGTGGACTTTCTAACTGATTGACTTCATCTATGGTGTCATCTATGGTGTCTATGTTTGCTCCTGTAACAATTACTTGTCGACAGACCCGTTACATACATGTAGTTTCCTTTGCAGGTTCTACCTCATCATCATTGTCATATAACATAACCTGCGGACCAGCTGCAGCATCAGCATCTTTAGCAGCTGCTGTCATCTGGCTGTTCACATATTTGTGGGACTGTGGATCTTCCTTTGCAGATTCCATCTCATCCTCATTCTCATAAACCATAAGCTGTGGACCAGCTGCAGCATCTTTAGCAGCTGCTGCCACCTGCCTGTTCTCATATTTGTGGGACTGTGGATCTTCCTTTGCAGATTCCATCTCATCCTCATTCTCATAAACCATAAGCTGTGGACCAGCTGCAGCATCTTTAGCAGCTGCTGCCACCTGCCTGTTCTCATATTTGTGGGACTGTGGATCCTTCACTGCAGATTCCATCTCATCCTCATTCTCATAAACCATAAGCTGCGGACCAGATGCAGCATCTTTAGCAGCTGCTGCCACCTGCCTGTTCTCATATTTGTGGGACTGTGGACCTTCTCCAGAACACAGGAAGGGAAACGGAACCTCATAACCATCGTTAAAGCTGCCGAGATGCTGAATTTGCCCTAAGTCAGATCTTTGTGATGGACCAGCAACACTGGTTGTACAAGCAGCTGCATCTACTGATTCAACCTGGGCAGCAGCCTGGGGGCCAGTCTGATTTTCAGGCCTAGGGGGAAGGGAAGGGGGCAAAACCAAATAACCAAAGCTGTCAACACTCAGCCTGTTACCTGCATCTTGGTGTGGACTTTCTGACTGATCGATATCGTCTATGGTGTTGTACTCGGCTGTGTCAGGGTCCTCATCTGTTGGGAGGTTATAGATATGCTGGCTGTCTTCTGTATCAAAATGGGATGTTTCAGATTGACTGTTTATTCCTGCACTTGTGCCAACTGCCGGTAGCTCCATCTGCTCACTTAGACCACTGGATGTGCCTGTGGGGTTTGTGTTGCTTAAGCCTTGCTGAGGAGGATCCCTTTGCCTCCTCTTATACATGCACCCTACTGCAAAGGCTATAGTGCAGATAAGGAGGAGTCCAAGAATAGCCCCCAAGGTAGCAAGAAGGGGCACAGACAGGACAATGCCACCATCAGCAGGGCCAGTATTGGTACCAAAAGGAGAATCAGTACTGACTGTAGACCAGCCTGTGTTAGAGTCAGCAGTGGGGGCGGTGCTCTGTGTTGGGGACAATGTTAGTGCTTTTGATACTGACTGATGAAAAGGAGAAGAACTGCTGACTGGAGACAAGCTAAGAGTAGAGTCAGTCATGTGTTTTGTGCTAGAAGTGGAGTAGACTGGTGTTGTCTCTTCACAGATCAGGTCTTCAGGATTTACATCCCGTAAGTATTGCCTTTGAAGGTTAGCAGGTCCGGCACATCTGATCTGGTTTTCAAATGAGTTAGACCCATCTATCCTCTGCTTAAAGGGAACCATCCTACAGTCACACTGCCAGGGATTGTTGCCAATGTGAACCGTTGAAATGGAAGCCATTATGTCATATGCCATGGGCGGTAGTGTCTCTAATTTGTTAGAATATAATGTAAGCTCTGACAATGCTGAAATATTTAAATTTGATAAGGCCTCTACAGGGAAAGTTTTGATGTCATTATGAGAAAGTCTCAGCATTTTAAGCTGAGGTAGGTTCCCAAATATGTTAGCTGTGATGGTGCCGATGTTGTTGTTCTGAAGGAATAGATAACTAAGCTTTGTTGTGTCATTAAATGTGCCTGCCTCGATACTGTGGATGTTATTATTTTGAAGGCCAAGCCACTCTAAGTTACCAAGTCCCTCAAATATGTCAGCTGGCAGACTAGTTAACTGGTTATATTGAAGATACAAGACCCGCAGATTACCAAGTCCCACAAATATGTTAGCTGGCAGACTAGTTAACTGGTTATAGTGAAGATGCAAGGACTCCAGATTACCAAGTCCCACAAATATTTCAGCTGGCAGAGTGGTGAACTGGTTATTGTCAAGATACAAGCGATACATATTTCCAAGTCCCTCAAATATGTCAGCTGCCAGACTAGTTAAGTGGTTAGAGTAAAGACGCAAGTCCCACAGATTACCAAGTCCCTCAAATATGTCAGCTGACAGAGTGGTCAGATGATTATGATGAAGGTACAGTCCACCCAGGCTGGTTAAGTTGTGGAATGTTTTGTTATGGATTATGGAGATCTGATTGGAACTAAGATCTAACCATGTCAAGCTCCTATACCTTGAGAAATCAGACTGACTTAAGGTTGTGATGTTATTGCCCTCCAAGTCAAGCAAAGTGATGTTTGTAGGCAGGTCCTGAGGAACACTGGTGAGGCCTCTGTCCTCGCAGTGACACCGTGCACAACATAACGGTGACCATGAACAGCTGCTGCTGCAGGCTGCGGTCGGGCCAGCTTCCTTCAGGATGATCAGCAGCAGAACCAGCATCCTCCTGGCTTTGTTGGACATACTGAACAGAGAAGAGATAGAATGCAATTCAGCTGTGTTAGCAGCTTTTAAAAAAGTTAACATCCCAATAGGATCAGTACATTACTGGTCAAAACCACTTAACACGAATTTCCCCACTAGACTCAAGTGAAAATGAGTATTGTCAGTCCAGTATTCGTTTCTATGTGCGGGACACAGCACCAGCAATAGCTATATATATAGCTGCCTCTGTTCCACGTGTATTGCACTGTTGCAATTTCAATAAATAAAAAATGAATAAATAAATAAATGAAAAAATAAAAATATTCTGTTTTCCTAATTATTACGGATGACATCAGCGTGCGCATTGATTTTTGCTTGATTTGGGGGAAAAAAGCAAGAAATCTTGTTGTCCTTTGACAGTGGTCTACATGCCGCATCATGGTCAAACTGGGCAAAATGGCATACCTTGCCATGCTAGAAGGTGTATGGCAGATAAACATGAGAGGAGACAAGACAAGGCTCTAATTTAATGTTTCGGCCTTTACTTTGATGCAGTGATGTATTCATTCCTTTTATATGTTCCCACTGAATCAAAACCATTCGTACAATCAGGGCTCGAAACTAACGGTGTCCTGATGGCCACTGACCTGACTTGCCTCTCTGTGCTGGGTGTGGTTACTTTGCTTATCTCTATCTTTCTCTTTCTTTCTTTCTCTTTCTCAGGCATACTTCCTGGCTTTTGGCTCTGGAAAAGCCCCCCCCCCCCAAAAAAAAAATCCCCCCCAAAAAAATCCTGTCTAACTCTGCAGTTATAGTGTGCCTCAGGGAGTCAGAACGTAAACAAAATAAAGTCGACTTCAAGTAATACAGTACTTCTCAAAAAACAAGCTGGGACAGTTCTTCCTCATTTCAGGACAATTTAAATCTATTTTTGGGACAATCATCAGGAATAAAAGTTAATTTAGAAGCGTAACAATGATTGAAAACATTTCTTTTTCAAAGTTGTTTCAGTGACAAATGGATTTTGTGATTGTTGGCAATAAAGTTAGCACATATTATATAGGTTCTTGTTTAACAGGGTTTTGTTATGATGTCAAAATTTCAAAATATAGGAATCTTGTTTTTTGGGGCCCGCGGCTTGTTTTTTTTTTTTTTTTTGCTCTCTCGCATTAGAGTCCGTGGAGGATGTCATCCATAAAATTTACCCACTGTGGTCTAAATTGGACCTGACTGAAATGAACAAAATTCGACCAACTAGGCAAGTGTAAACTCTACTTGTTCCTTTCCCAAATGTGTCTAAACTGAAGCACAATTCTTCAAGAGAAAAATGATTTTTAAAGATATCAATTAGGCATTACGAAGAGAAGGTGACATAGAATATGCCTAAATCATGCCAAAAATAAGACAAAGCTCATTCCTCATCTTGGAAAATAATTCAGTGAAAGATTACCAGTGTTTAATAGGCCAGTGCTCATATAGAAAAACTGATAAAGTAGTTAAGGGTGGCATAATGCAAAAAAAAGAGTGGCGTCTGTGTGGTGTAGTGGATAGAGTGGCCGACTGTAAGGAGACCCAGGTTCAGTCCCCAGGGTTGGACCCAGACATGTCCGGACATGCACCCAGACGTTGTGCCCTTGGGAAAGGCACTTAACATGCATTTCCCCCCTCAGTTAGAGGGATCCTGGGCCCTACTAGAGGGTTTGGGTTGACGTTAGGAAGAGCATCCAGCCGTAAAAATGTTTGCTTCCAAAAAGACTTCTACTTGGTGCAAGCACGTCTGGGGAAAAATGACGTTAAAAACGGTTTTTAAAAAAAACAACGTCCAAAACAGGTTAACCGTTGACAGTGTTAATACCTTTGGTGTTAGGCTAGTTACCTAAAAATATACCAAAAGAAAAGCCGACAAGATAGAATGCCTGGCAACCGCCCGAAACACTCCTACTTTTGTTGGTCGAGCGAGTCTAATCCCTCGTAGGGCTTTCATGTCACCAGTACGGTGGCCACACTCTTTGCCACTGTCACGGTTGGTGGCCAGAGACATGCAGTTGGCCAGGTCGCAAGCCATACTTAAGCCTGTGTTTACATTGTTAATGGCATGTGGATCCTCTCATGCAAAAGTGGTCTGGTTCCTAAGTGGCGTCATTGCCAGTTTTCTCAAAATAGCCTGGGTGTCATCTGTAACTTGTAACGGTAACCCCCCACCCAAAAAATCACAAAACACTAGAGCCTTGTTAAAAACAAAATTACTCAGGACACAGAACATGTGCCAAAATTAATAACCAACAACTAACACAACCTGGAACACTAAATCTAACCCATCAAATTCAACACCATCAACTACACATAACAAACAACATATTATAAAAAAATACAATAAACAACCCGGAGGTATAAAGTCTCAGATTTTCCTTGTTTCCTGTTAATGTTGACACAAGTTAATGTTTAAGACAATGAAATCTCCTTCCTATCATCTTTGTAGAAGTGTCTTAAGAAGAAGTAGAAATTCTAGAGAGTTTCTTTAAGTTAGTAGATCTTTAACCTGCAAAAAAATACAGGGTTACACCTAAAGGCAGCTGACTACATGTGTCAACCACGTTCCATTCTGACATTTTTCCTGTTCAACATTTCCTCATCGCCATTTTTTTCTGACACTTGAGCAATCCTTCCAACAAATTTAGCTTTCATGAACAGAAAATACATGAGGTTCCATGTTGTAGGGTAACAGAGAAGTTGATTGACTCACCTCAGTATGGAAGGAAGATACCTTCAGATTTTCCAATGGTACAAGACAAGGAAATGGCGTCTGTAAAAATAAAACAAAGGGCATGTTTTTAAGGCCGTCAGTAGTTCCCCAAATCATAAAGTACACCATTGGTGGGTTATATAAGATATCTTTGAAAACCTCGGTAAGCAGGCAAAGTTTGGGGAAAATTCAGAAACATTTCTCAGTATCTGTTGTAACTGATGCCGTGTATGATCACTGGTAATTGTTTCCTGTTAATGTTGACACAAGTTAATGTCTAATAAACTATGAAATCTCCTTCCTATCATCCTTGTATAAGTGTCTTAAGAAGAAGTTGAAATTCTACAGAGTAAGTTCTTTAAGTTTCAGCTAATAAATCTTTAACCTGAGCCAAAAAAAATCCAGGGTTACCGACTGTGTGTCAACCACGTTCCTTCTGACATTTTTCCTGTTCAACATTTCCTCATCGCCATTTTGAGCAATCTTTCCAACAAATTTAGCTCTCATAATTAGGACAGAAAATACATCAGGCTCCATGCTGTAGGGTAACAGAGAAGTTGATTGACTCACCTCAGTATGGAAGGAAGATACCTTCAGATTTTCCAATGGTACAAGACAAGGAAATGGCGTCTGTAAAAATAAAACATTTTTCCTGTTCAACATTTCCTCATCGCCATTTTGAGCAATCCTTTCATCAAATTTAGCTCTCATGGGCAGAAAATACATCAGGTACCTGTAATTATATTGTAGGGTAAACAGAGAAGTTGATTGACTCACCTCAGTATGGAAGTTAATTATCTTCAGTCTCCAAACTCCTTAAAGTTTCAGGGAGTCCGTCTTAACTGTGTGCGTCTTTCAGCGAGGCCTAAGAAAGTGTGTCTGCACTCGTCTGCTATTCAGCCAAGATCAGGTGTGACGCGAGGGCGAATGGGGGAACTTGGCTGACGCTCAGGGTTTGTAGGTAACGCATGACTGTGCAAAAGTTGTGGGGATTACCAGCCCCTCCAGAGTAACAGGAGTAGGAAAAACAATCCAAGATCAGTGCACTTAAGCTGCCAACAGACTTCCTATGTGAGCTCACAGTACTGTCTGTGAACGATAGGGCCACACCGCCTTAATTTTATGGATGACATTGATTTTCGCCTGTTCAAAAAAAATCACGTCCTCCAAGGCTCTGGCCTGGCTCTAGGCCTGGGTAGTCCATTGTAGATTAGCGACAATAAGGAGGTGTTGAACTCTGGAGGACGGACCCAGGCTGCTTAAGCTCTACGTCTCATTAGAACTCAGTACATACATACAGTGCCGATTCATAAATTCCGCAAAAAAAAGATGTGCCAGCTTGACGTATACATCGCTACATGCTGCCACAAATTCAAAATTATACCAGCTTTGTATTCCTGTGATATAGTAGCATTTTTATTTTTGGCCGGAATTTTTTTTATTCGCCCGCACGCACTAGTTTGGGTGTCTTCAGAGAATGTCATCCGTAAAATTAAGGCAGTGTGGCCTAAGAAGCAGAAACAGGATTGTATAATAATTAGACGAGGCTGAGACCCAAGTAGCTGTGACCAGGGGACGTAACGTGGATTCTTCAGCATTATCATAGGGGTCTGCCTAAACACCACAACCCACCATGGTTGCATTGGGCGAATGCATTTTATTAAGTGACTTCAGTACCTTTGCCCGTCACCAGGTGGCGTTAATGCATTGAGACCTTGTCAGGTGCAGCATGATTGTGACAAGAGGCAGGCCAGTGACTTCATTACCTTTGCCCATCACCAGGTGGCACTAAATTGAGACCTTGTCAGGTGCAGCACGATTGTGACGGTGGGAGACAATGGATTTGCTCCAGGAGACTGGCAGACTGCCAGTCAACTGAACAGCTCCGTAGGCGGCTTGGAGTCCATAACATTCAGGACACAGTTAGGTACAACAGACTCAGATGGTACGGCCACCTCCAGAGAATGGACAGGGACAGATGGCCAAAGAGGATCCTCACACTGGATGTGGAGGGTCCAAACCCCCGTGGCCGCCCCAGAAGAAAATGGTATGACAACGTACGGGAGGACTTCCACCATCTGAACCTAGATAAAATTGACCCACAGGACAGAGGCAAGTGGCGTGCTGCCATCAAGCCCCAGATGTATTGTGCAAGCACGTCTAACCCTCGGAAGACGGGGAACAACAGACGATAAACCGGACAGTGAGTGAGTGAGTGAGTGGAGACAGGCCACTGGCTGCAGTACCTTATGCTGTCACTGGGTGGCACTGTATGTACACTTCTCAATTCTTGGTTAATAACCAAGCATATTTGCAGGCATGAACAACACAGACAAAGACTGGAGTTGAACACCTCCATTTTATTCCCTTCCTAATCTAAGTTACATTTTGAAGTCCCTGCCTACTGTCAGGTCTACCATCTTCCAGGAGATAACTGAGGACAGTGCAACACAAATTGATGGACTTTGGGGCGATTTCGCTGTGCACTTTGTTATATGTAGGGAGGTGGATACGATTTGTTATGCATTAGTTATAGAAAATAATATCCATTGACCACCCGAGGGTGGTTACTGCCTGGCCAATTTGATACTGTATTTGCTTAGAGATTAGCTAACACCATGTATATGGTATCCAGTACTGTGCATATCTAGTGTGAAGAGGGGAAATAACGGCAAATTGTCCCTGTCCTTTGTGCTGAAATGTCGGTGCAAACTCACAGCGTTACACACAGCTGCACTCACGTGTGGTGTAACACGAGTAGCAGCGGCCATGTCAGCATAGTTGTTGATAAAGCACGGTTCTGGATACAACATGAACGATAAGAGGAAAGCGACAAGCGGAAAGAACGGCAAACTGTCCCTGTCCTTGGTGCTGAAATGTCGGTGCAAACTCACAGCGTTACACACAGCTGCACTCACGTGTCTTGTAACACGAGTAGCGGTGGCCATGTCAGCAGTCATCATGTTGTATCTGGCCAACTGACCACAAGGCCGGTTTATGCACTGTTGGGATATTTCACGGGCGTGAAAATATTAGCTGGTGTGTCCTTAGCAATGTCGTGTCTTATGTCCAATTTATAGTAGACTAGACACGTAATACATTATTGGTGGTATTGACTTGTTCTCTTTGTGTTCTGCTCTCTTTTCCCTGGAGCATGGAATAGTAAAGACAGATTTGTTATGTTTTCTGTTTACGATATTGATGGAAAGAACTGAAACTGCTAATTGAAATAGGAGCCACACAGGTTAACTGTATAAGGTGACACTGTGTTATTTTTGCACTCAGTTTATCTGCACTTTGTACAGATGCTGCTAGGGGGCGCTGCAGTATGGTCGTCACATTTAGAGCCTGTGTTGTTTGCCGTCTGTCCAGGTGATCTCGCCGTTATGGATGTTTCCTGTGGCTGGGACCAGACGGTACGCCACAGAGACGTTGGTGACGCCACGTGGGGTTCAGAAGAGACACGGGCAAACGTTTGTAGTGGTGACAAGAGACTGATTGTCAGACTTTGATACAGAGTAAGTCAGTGCATTAATATATGGAATTGCTTTCTTTTCTCTTTGGTTTGCTCTCCCTCTCTCTCTTGCTCTCTCTCTCGCATTCTCTCTCTCTCTATCACTCTCTCTCTCTCTCTCACTCTCTCTCTCTCTGTCTCTCTCTCTCTCTCTCTCTCCCTCTCTCTGTCTCTGCCTCTCTCTCTCTCCCTGTCTCTGTCTCTCTCTCTCTCTCTCTCTCTCTCTCCCTCTCTCTCTCCCTCTCAGTGTGAGGCTACAGCCTATGAATAAATCTCTCTACCCAAGACATGAACACCACAGACAAAGACTGGAGTTGAACACCTCCATTTTATTCCCTTCCTAATCTAAGGTACATTTAAAGTCCCTGCCTACTGTCAGTTCTACCATCTTCCAGTGTCTTCTCTCTCTCTCTACTAGTCCCTACAACTTATCTTCTTCTAGTAACTAGTTTTGCATACAATTATATGTAACTTATGTTGTATGGTATGTTCTATATATTATTAAGTATACACATGTATATGGTAAGTATAATGCAATTTAACTCACTAATAAAAAAGCTACTGAACTTATTAATTTCATGTTAAACTGTTCCTACTATTTCACATTGTAACTAGATTTTACTTTCAGCACAGTATATCTTTTAACAGTGGACTCTACATTGCATTAAACCATATACACAGTAATTAATTAAACTAGTCCTGTCACCCTAACATGTGGTGTAAAAGCTATAAAACTTACAGGATATTTCTGATTAATTCCACTTGACAGTCACTGCAGTTTCTAACATTTTTGCTTTTGTTTATATACATATAAGAGATATATTTGAATCGCAATTAAAATATAAGTAAAAATGTTCAGTTTTATAGAGTAGACTAAAACCTTCTTGTCTCCTAGTCCTAGTGTCTGCTTTTGCTGCAATGATGTTGCTTCTACCATATTAATGATTATGATATTTAACATTGAATAGAATATATCAATATTGATATCATAATAGATTGTTAGAATATGTAATATTTACCAGGTCTTCACACAATCCTCACCTCATTATAGTACTAGTGTGAGTAACTTGTGGGTCCTAATTATAAGTCTGCCTTTAAAATTAAGTAACACATTTCCTTGACCCCATGTTATCTTTTTGTGGCCCTTTTAAAAACTTTTTCTGTCTCTACTATCAATGTCTATATAAAGAAAAGGTCCCATTCCACTCTATTGCAGAGCATAGGGTGGTGCCCATCTCCATTTCTGAAGCCCTTGTGCCACACACAGTTCTTCAAGGCACTACAGCAGGGGGCTGGTCCGCTGGTAGTGCTGTGTGTTTGACCTTCCCACACTCTTTCTCATATGTGCTGAGTGCTAAGCAGAGAAAGAAGTGTGTACCATTTTTAAAGTCTTTGGTATGACCCGGCCGGGGTTTGAACTCACGACCTCATTGTTACAAAGTGGGCACTCTACCAATTGAGCTACACATGCATTGTCTATATGCCGTGTGGTAATTGTATTCAGTTTGAGCATACTAGTATTACATTTTGTTGTATATCTTTGCACACAAGCACTTAAACCTTTACATCCACAATTTGTCCACACTTTATCCACCCAGAAGTCCTCCTTATCAAAGCTGTGAACTGGGTTGCTTTTCTGGCCAGAACTTGGTTTAACTTATTATTATTATTATTATTATATTTCTAGGGAGAGAGGATGGGAGCCCCGGTATACAAACAGAATGGCACCCAGGCCACA